ACAGAATTTTTTTTGATGTTTAAAATTGTTAAAAACAGCAACCGAGTTTTCATTTCACTATAAAGTCGTTTAAAAATACTTCTTAAACTAGAATAAGTTGCAGTACACTTGATACTTTCTCGTCTTCTTATCAAAATATATTAAACCTGGTTAGTAGTTTTGACAATAACCTACAGTGCTTTTACTGACGGTAAATGACCTTATTACCGTTTTTTTTTTTTGAGCTGCTGTTTGCAGCTTTTTCAGGTATTTCTTTATTTTTAACATTTCACTCGAACTGGAAAAGTGACTGATGGTAGCTGTAAGGTGTGATGATGGGTTCGGTACTTCAAGCCTCACGTTTTCGATCTTCAATTTTTTTTGGTCTCAGCTACTTGTCAAAAAGTTTCTACAGGGGATAAAACAAAATTTTTAGAAGTAGCAGTTAGCAGAAGACCAGTACGGCAGTTTACAATATAGAAAAGTCAGCAATCGACACGAAATCTTGAAAAATTATTTTTAGTACAAGAAGTTGACAAGCTTACACAAACGGGAAAAAAATACCGTCTGAAAAAGAAACGTAGCTGACTTTATGAGGTTCTTTGCAATAAATAAGCAATTTTTAGATTTTAAAAAAACAGTCTCCGACATTCAAAATATTGATGCGAAAACCACAAAGAAATCAGAAATCTTACTCAAAACAGCAAAAGTCACTTCCAATCCCAAAACACGTTTTAAAAAAGTGACTCATTATGTGTCCACTTCAACTCTCCCAAAAATGATGTGCTACGTACAGAAATAAGAATAACTCTGCAAGAGCACGGTACAAAGCATAACCCAAACAGCAATTCGTCACCACCACTAAAAAAACCCTCTTATTTAGCATTTGTATCGGATGGCGTTCTTGATTCCAACCCGGCTGAAACTGACCCCAAAGGAGGATTGCAAACTGTAAGTGAAATCCAACAAACTGCCGATGGATTGCATTTTTGTAAAGACACGGGGAAAACAACCAAAAAAACTCACAGCATACCTCCATTACAGATACTTAAAACGCAACCCAAAGGTGACATAACGAAGGCAAACGTGTTGAATAACTCTGGCAAGAATCCCACAACGCTTATCGAAAGGGAAACAGCCGATAACGAGAAGTTTTCATCACCAAAAGACAGTGAAACCAACATTCCAACAGGTCACTACAGTTTAAACGAAGTGGTCCAAAAAATTCCGAAACGCGCACCTCTTACTGCATCTGTTGTTTTCAGAATTCTCATAGAGAGCATTGATCGTAAATTCAATAAATACAGATGAACACCAACTTATATTAAAGATAAATTATTTAGGTAAGAGTGCTAACCAGATGACCTTTAAAAAGGGTTTCTCAGACAACGACTCTCCGGTAACTGCAGACAAACATTTGCTTTCTGGTAAAGACCCACCGGCAACAGCGAAAGAACAAAGAGCGTCTAACAATGGACCTGCAGTTACTTCTGACAAACAGTTGGTTTCTGGTAAAGATCCACCGGCAACAGCGAAAGAACAAAAAGCTTCTAACAATGGACCTGCAGTTACTTCTGAAAAACAGTTGGTTTCTGGTAAAGACCCGCCGGCAACTGCTAGAAACCAAGGAGCTGCTAGCAGTGGACCTGTAGCTACTGCCGGAGAACAGTTGGTTTCTGGTAAAGACCCACCAGCAACAACTAAAGAAAAAAGAGCTATCATTGGACCTGCACTTACTTCTGACAAACAGTTCGTTTCTGGTAAAGACCCACCGGCAACAGCTAGAGAAAAAA